TCATTGATTTAATCGATTGCATGGAGGTTGGTCGGTCGGCGATGCCGAGCCGCCTCATTCATGGGCCGGGGCCTACGCGACCTGAGCCTCGGTGCGGCCTGAGCGGGGGGAGAAGCCTGAAGTAGGCCGAAGTAGCGCGATATCGTTACCACTGTCTTTATTATTACCACTGCTGCGACAACAACAGTGGCCTTGTTATTATAGTTGCCTTGATGCTATGAGTCATGTTGGGTCTCCTGTCGTCGCGGCGCAACGGAGCGGACGAGCCGCCCAGGCTGCGCGTCGCCGAGTCCACGCGAAGGTGCGGCACGGGAGTGGGGGGGCCGCTCTGTTTTCTTGCTTGCGGCAGCATCAACAGCATCATCAGACATCAGCAGTGTGTCCAGCAGATGTCAATCGTTAAGGCTCTGCTAGACATGACGAGCGGTAGAGAGTTTGGTGTCGTTTTTGCTTTTTGTTGAAAGAGCGCGGACTACAGTAAAGTAGTTTTACTACAGGGTCCATTGGGGTTTCATGGGCCAACTAATCACAAAAGCAGCTCTAAGGAAATGGGTTTTCAACCTTTATTTAAAAGTGCATAGCTCCAGTGGCTTCCTAATCTCGGACAGAAGTGTTCCAAACGGCCGCAGAAGCGCATGCGATGCAGTGACCGCCTTTGTTCGATGGCTGGCCATCGAACTGGCTGCGAACACCGTCCGCTAGCTCAACCACCAAACCTCGATGTGAAGTAGACTCGATTATCCACGTGACGTTTATCTAATTTGCGGAGTAACCACGCACCTGAAATTTTTACAAAGTAATAACTCATGGATGTTCCCATAAGCCCAAATAAATAATCAAAAAAGGTATACCTTGTTATTCTTGGAAATGCTTATGTCAAGTAAAATACTTAAACCAAACAAATATGTGCTCCGGTTAGTCCGAAATCCACGTGATCGCCTCTACAGTACAGTCGTACATCTTTACAACAGTGGGCAGAGTTTGATGTTGATTGCCGTGGCTCTGCTATCCACTTAGTGGGCGGGAGCAGCAAAGTAATCACTGCACGCGCATCATTGATCGTCAGTTTTTGTCATTATCCGCGATTTTGAATTATCCACGGCTGTCCTCCCCGTCATGAGCATGGGTAATCGAGAGTCTACTATAGTTTTCCTATGTGGATGTGAAAGCTGGACAGTTACAAAGCCCTGAAGCAAACTAGAAGCAGCAAAAATGTGTTATTTCAGAAGGCTGTAAAAAAATCCTCTGGAATAGACAACATGATTTAAATACATGTATTTCAGAAAGCAGAAAGAGAATAAGAATAAATAATGAGAGAACGACAGACTAAATATAATGTTTTGACTGGGGAAATGATGGTGAATTAAGTACAGAAGCAATTGGATATACAGTAAATGGGAGTATCTTCAGTACATATCACGGAAAGAGCTAAATGTAAGGCCATGATTGCAGACATCTTTGAGAAGAACATGGCAAATGAGAACGAGAGAGATCCTCAGCATAATCCATGCAAGGGTTGTTGTACTGCTTGAGATTTCTCCCGTGAGTGCCAGGTGTCCTTTTGTGTGTGCATGATGGCGAGCGGTAGTGTAGCGGTCCACACGCTGCATTACGAACTCGGCAACACGATTTAGATTCCCGCTAACGGCCAACACCAGTGACGATTATCTGAACCGGTCCTGGGCCTCCCCGAGGTTAACTCAGTCTTAAATGAGTACCTGGTGTGATGTGTAAACATCGCCACTGGGGAGATAAAGGCCACAGTGCATGGTGCTGGCCACCCACCTCGTGTGCCGTGTCGGCCTTCATAGGTGTTCACTAACAGCACTTGCCCAAACAGTCTGTTTAGGCTATACGGGGGATCTTTGTCTTTTGTCTTTGTGAGCTGTGCAGGGTGTTCAACCTGGAGCTGAGCAGTGAGCGGGATGTAGAGTGCGTGCACAGCAGTGGCGTCAATGTCCTCGACATCGACCAAGCAGAAAATAAGTAGTGCGTGGCTACACCAGCAGCATATAAATTGTCGCCTAACATGCGTGTTCTTCTTTTGTATAATAATAAGTCCATCTTGTAACACGCCAATCAGTATTACACACACTCTCAAAGACAGAAAACTAGTCGGAGGCATGAGGAACCACAGACAAGCAGGAAGGCAGCCGCGCAGTGAGCCAGCACCAATAATTGCCTAAGCTCTGCGGTCGTATATAGTAACGTGTTAAGTGTGGGTTTGTTGTACTGCCTTTAGAGTATTTGGCTGCTATAAATTTCCACGTGATAAGCCACTTTGTTGAGCTATCATTTGTGACCAGGTCGCTTCTGAAAAAGAGCTATAGCTCAGTGGGCTTCACCTGGTAAAATAAAAACATTGCTCAGTTTTTAGTTTAGTTTGGAAAGCCACAGTATGGCACCTCGACGCCCACGGGAAGTGAGTCTCACATCATCTGTGCGATCCACCAACCCTTTTCTCCAAAGTGATGTATAACAGGTGTAGTGTCAGCACTGCCCCAGCTATAAAGGAGTTGATCAGCAATTTTTGGTTATTTTCACATCGAGGTTTGGTGGTTGAGCTAGCGAACGGTGTTAGTAGCCTGGTAGTAGCCTGTTCGATGGCTAGCCATCGAACAAAGGCGGTCACTGCATCGCGTGCTTTCGGATGCGCTTCTGCGGCCGTTTGGAACACTTCCGTCCGAGATTAGGAAGCCACTGGAGCCTATGCACTTTTAAATCAAGGTTGAAACCCCATTTCTTTAGAACTGATTTTTGTGCTTAGTTCTCCTTCCGCCGCACCTCCAATTAGCATGGTTGGCAACGTACGGTCTGAAAGAAGTTCAACATACATGCATATATGCAATGCTTTCCAGAGAATAATGAAAGCCGGTGGTAGTGCCTGCGTGTTGCTATCTGTGTGAATGAAGTGGCTGTGGATGAATTTTTGTGCACAACAGTATGCTCTCTGGAGGAGCTGATGGAGTGATTGCCATCTACAACCTGGAGAATGTCTCCCAGAAACCTCAGTACACATGCAAGGCCATCTGCACAGTGGGCAGGTGACTAAATTATTTTCTTGTATTTATCAGTAGGCATCTTACCGTTCTTTGCTTCACCCCCCCCCCCCCAGTAATTTGATGAATTGTCACAATTCTGGGTCACGATAAAAAAAAACGTCTCACTTTAACTTCTTTGTTTTCTCTTTTTTTGTCATTTGCACAGCATGTATTACATTAGCCTAAATGAAACTGAATATCATGTTTATGCAAGTTGCATAAATTGTCTATTATTGTGAGCATTTTGAATCATTTTTTATTGATAAATAGATTCATAATTATCTATTCGTCGGGTGGTAGGATAGTCGTTGGCTGCACTACACGTTGCTGATATCTCCCCGTTAATTAAGGCGTCCCTGTTCTCCTCTCCCTGAGTGATAATTTCCTTCAATAATGTTCTGCATGTAAGTCCTATTCCTTCCACGGTTGGCTACATACGGTGCGAAATAAGTTGTACATACATACATTCCCCCTCTCTATAACTTCCTACTTGGCCTTAGAACTATAAATGTGCTTATGCTTTTCTGTGCAGCATCTTTAGATACATTTACAATCACAAATTGTATTGTTGTCAAGAGCACTTGTACCTGGCATTGCAGGTCCCATGCACATGTGCACCAGTACAGTGTGGAGACGGTGCAGTGGTACACCCACGACACAGGAATGTTTCTGTCAAGCTCCTTTGACAAGACACTCAAGGCATGGGACACCAATGCTCTGGAGGTGAGAACACATCTCGCCACTGTGGGCGTCACTGTGGAAAGATGTTAACTACCTTGCGTGGCATACAGGAGGTCGTGGGTTTGATCTCAACTCTGATGCCTGTATATTTGGAGTTTCCATTATGTCCCCATGGTCGCTTGAATTTTTCTCCGGGTCCTTTAGTTTTTCTCTCCACATTTAGAAACATGCGTTTAGAGTATTTGGCTGCTATAGATTTCCAAGTGATAAGCCACTTCGTTGAGCTATCATCTGTGGCCAGTTTGCTTCTGAAAAAGAGCTATATAGCCCAGTGGACTTTACCTGGTAAAATAAAAAATAGCTTAAATAGTGTGACCCATGTAGTCGACTACTCCTGCAACATCTCATTGGCTCTTCGCTGGACTATTGCGAGAAGAATGATGTGCTTTACTCGGAATTTGTAGCACGTGTTTGATGAGATATATCGAGTGTAAAATTATACCGCTAACGTGAACAAGAATGTATTTTAATAATTTGTTTTTGTTTTACATACTGCCGCTGGTGGGTTTCTTCATACAGCCGGCAGAAATTTACACATTTTCGGAAAAGGTTTATTGTCACCATATGTCTCCAATTGCAACGCAGCACTCCCTAATTGCAGGTAAGATTTAAATGTAGTATAACTTGGGTTTATGCAAAATAATTTTACAAGTTTTACTTTTTTTTAATTATATGATCCCAACCATGTTTTAATAAACCCTGATAACTGTAATAATTAAAGTTTTTTTTTAAATGCTTGTATTTAAATTCTGCTCTCGTTTTGCTCCCTGATGACTCAAGTTGGAACCAGTGGCAGCAAAGTGCAGCTGTGTGACCTGAGAACGGGCTCGAGCACTCACATCCTGAACGGTGAGAGCTGTTTTTGCTGTCTTGAGAGCACCCATAATGGTTGGCTTCACCACTATAGAGCAGGGGTGAGGTTTCTTATAGCCCACGGGCCGGCCACAGCCTATGTCATTACTTCGTACGGTCCGCGGCTTCACGAGACCTACCTCTTCAAAATGGCCGCCAAACTATCCATCACCGTTAGGATCTTAGCCATACTAATTGGTTACTGGAGGGCAATAATTTCAACCTGGCAACACCATGTTTCTAATGCCACTGTAAGGGCCTCTTGTAGTGACAGAAGCGACTTGGTGGTGTGCGTTAATACGTGGTTGCCTGCCAAAGGCAATGGAAAGTCCTCTTTGGCTCTCAGTAAGGAAAAGGGTTCCTAATCCCTGCTGTAACAACATGGAGTGTAGCGGAGTGGCACAGGTGCTGACTGCAGCTCCCCCTGCAGGCCACCGGAACGCGGTGCTCGCAGCTCGCTGGTCGACGCGGCACGAGTTTGTCCTGGCTACTGGAAGGTACCAGCCAAGTGAGCGCATGCCGCACTATACTGAAATAAAAATTGTTTACATTCAGCGCCCTTGCACAATGAATCTTGGAAACCCCCACGCATGTATTAGAAAATGAGAGAAAAGTAACCAGGTAGAAAGACTAAAGAGATAAGATAAGAGAAATAGAGGAGGCAGTTTTAAATATGCGTCTTCAGCCAGGGCTTAAAAGTCTCCATCGACCGCGAGGAATTTCTAAGCCTGGAGTGGCAGTTATGCTGACTAGGGCACAAACGATAGATCTGAGAGATCTCAGTGGAGTGTGTGGCTGAATCAACTCCTGGATGATATGTGATGGAGCAAGCTCATTTAAAGCCTACAACGTGAGTAGGAGAAGCTTAACCTCAATGTGGGTTTGAAAATAATCTGCCAAGTGCATCACTTATGTGTTTGATTTCAAATGCATACTCAATTAGCTCCCTTCGCATTTTGATAAATTGTCACAGGGTGGTTAATTTCGTTTTATTGTATTATGGATAATCAGTTTAACACATAGGCTTTCACGTGGTGGCGGGTTTAATGACACATTTATATTTACGCGATTTAACCCAAAAAAAAACCTCTTCTGGATTCTAGATAATCGCATGCAAAAAAACATTTGCAAAGCGATTATCGGTTTCACACATATATAAAGCTCCAGCCCTGTGTGCGTATGCATGTCTTTTTGAATGTATTATGCAGTGACCGATGGGGGCCCTGCCACTGGTGCCTTATTAGTCCATGAGCCCAGAGCGGATATTTCACTTGTTGATACTACTTGGGGTCACATAACTTTACTGGTTCCAATTTCTTTTCGTGGTCAATAATAGTAAATAATTATGTGGTAACCACTTGAATGGAGTGGGGGTTAGCAAATAATTCACCCCTATATGCCATGTAAATAAGTAGGTAAGAATAAAGTTTTGCTGCTTATTTAATACCAATTTCTGCTATGGCCCATGGACTATATATAATGCAATTTGCATGTACAGCATTTAGTTACAACTACATCTCTTATGATGGCTGCCGTTAACCACTTAAATTGAAATGTGCCGTGCGGTGGCTGCAAGGATAAAGTGAACTAATTACATGCAACAAATGTGGATACAAAATACTCTTAACAAAAATCTTACGTGCACATTTACATGTATTATGGGCATAATCTCTGTTAATCATTGTCGTTACACAAGTCCCATTACTCTGTGGTCGTGTGTGTGTGCATTTCTCTCACGCTTGTTCTGCTTAACACAAGTCGTGATAACAGTGCGAAGTTGTGGGACGTAAGGAAGGCCACTGGCTGTTTGCTCACCCTGGATCAGCACAAGGGTGAGGCCTGGGGAGGCTCCAAGTCCTCGAGCAGCAGAGACCGCAGCGGAAGTAGGAATGCAAGCCCCCCACTGTCTTCTCCACATTGGACGTTAGACCCAGCGTCGTGGCAACCCCATGCCCGCACACATAGCTTATCCCGTTTGTAACAATCTAACAAGGAATTACCGTCAGAGAGCCATATAACAAGGACAATTTTCGCACTAACGATTCCGTGACCCACACCAGGGCAAGCGGATTAATAAACGAACAAGCGAGGCCGTTTTCCTGCTAAGTGTGGTGCCGTTGTGAACATCTGCAGCACAGACATCACACGGCGGACACGTCAACGGGCTCTGCTTCACCAAGGATGGGCTCCACCTCCTCACCCTGGGCACGGACGACCGCCTCAAGCTCTGGAGGACCGACACGGGCACAAACCTTCTGGTAATGCAACACTTTTTTGCACAGGCGACATGTTTCATCTCGAGCAATTGGTGTCGTTTAGTATTCCTATTGAAACGAACCACGGATGTCCAGTGCTTGTACTGAAACAAGAGTTGGGTGTGGAGATGCCACCATTGCCAGACTTGACAGGCGAGCTGGAATAGCGCCGGAGCAAAGTAGAGTTGGAGCACATTTTCATATGGTCGGAATGGTGGTTGCTTCTTCACAGTCAGCCCATTATGGCTTCACAACTTGGCCCCGTACCCTCACTTTCCCACAGGTGAACTACGGCCGGGTCAGCAACGGTTCCCGCAAAGGGGTGAAGTTCGCCGTGTCGGCAGACTGCTCGCCAGACCTCGTGTTTATTCCGATGGGCAGTCATGTAACTGCGTTTGAGATCTACTCCGGGCGGGCACACACCCAGCTCAGTGGCCACTACAACAAGGTCAACTGCTGTGAATATTATTCAGACTTCCAGGTGAGAAAAGCCTCTTCAACTATGTGTACCCATCCATTTATCACTGCTCCGATGCGAAGTCGCACAAGGCAACAGGTCACGAACCCCCGCCACATGGTGTTTTTTAGGGACTTATTCTGTTTTCACTCATTGTCAATATCTTTACAAGAGCTGAGTGATTTGTGCCACTGGCTAGGATTACAATTTATGTATTTGTTACTGTAATTAAGTGCTATATACCAGTTAGAACTTTTTCGGAACAGGGAATAAAAAATATGTATGGCCTTCTAAAAACACGTTTTACTCGTAAACAGTGTAAAAATGACTTTTTTTATTTTGTCAAATTAATGCATCTAGAATGCAGGGAAAGTTTTAAGTCAAAATCAGGCCACATGTGACTGATTATGCCCATTCACATTTGTAATTAGGACACAAGTCTAAATACAATACATAAATCATACTGCTCAACACCAGTATTCGCTGTTCTAAGAGAAACAATTCCGTTATTGGAATTACAATCTACTCAACATGTATAACGACATTTTGATTCAAATAAGCCGAGTTATTTCTTCAGCTTCTGAATGGAAACCCAGACGAGAGGTATAGATGCTCAATGGCTCATGTCTGGCACTTCACAGGAGCTGTATAGTGGCGGTAATGACAGTAACATCCTGGTCTGGGTGCCCAACATGGGCAGGACTCAACCGGAGGAGGAAGAAACAGACAAGGTGAGACACCTCTAGGGTCATTGGAACTGCAAAACAATAATTAGAATGTATGCTTGATGAGAGTGCCATTATTGCCGTGGCCTCTCGGAGCACTTTACTTGCGTCATATCTCAACACATTTGTAAGGGCACTCCCAGTAGCAGCTGTCCCTGTGCATCACAAGGTGGTGACTTGGTACCTGACCTGCAAATGTTAGTCTGCCAGGAGGGGGTGATGATTCCTATGTGGAGACACAATTGAGTCATTTTGGGATTACAGAATGTAATAAACCACGAAACATATAAAAGCCATTACTTGAAAACTACCGATTAAACATTTTATTACGTACGATTATCGCACATATATGGGGCCGTATAAAAAACATTTGAACTTGGTATTTTTTGTAATAAAAATTCATTTTTGTGTTGATAACAAATGTATTTGAGCTGAATAATAATGTGTTTTGTTTTCTTGTACAATGCAGAAGTCTGGAAGCAAGCAGCGCAGTGGCTTCCAGGATTCCTGGAGCAATAGCGATGAAGATTAAGTTGGACGGGGACCACCAGCTGATGATGACGATGATGACAACGCATGTATACGTATTTTTACTGCATCATTTTTTCTCTGCGTCCAGTTGTACAATTTTTTTTTTAATGTAATAAGATAACGGTGGGTTTACACTTTTATACCATGTGCCGATGGAGTCGAATAATGGCGTCTTATCATAGCACATTAAAAAGTGTGATAACTTTTTTGCTTTAATTAAGACGTGAGTGACTTATACTGGGAGTGTTTTTTTCTTGTTCTCGTTATTGTCCAAGTGGGTGTAGGTGCAATGTCTTGATCTGAAAGCTGCCTTAATGGGTAGAGTTTAACTGGTTCCGGTTTATTGAGCAGCAGAGCACGAAGCCAGCAGAAACTTAGTCCATATCCTTTAGTATTTACGTGTTATGTGAAGGAGTACAGAGTAGCTTGTTACATATTGATCCACACAAGTTTGACAGTAGCTTCCTGTTCGTTGAGTAGCAAAGCCAATAGGACTGGGGTGGGGTCATACAATTTCGCTATTACACTGTTGTCCTTTCCCCGTAATTCCGATTAACACGGTTGGCTACGTACAGTGCGACCAACATACACACGTACATACCTCAGCTGGGGTCTTCAATGATGGCTTGGCTATGCAGACAGGTGCACATCTATGTTAAAACACGATCATTGCCAACTCGACGTGTCACATTTATTGTAATGTGGATTTATTTAACAATACCAGTGGGTGAGTATGGACGTAATGATGCAGCAGTTCATAAATATATATTTCAGCTCAATACATTAATTTGATTCACATGTTTTAATGTAAGTGGTTCACAGGACCCCTCACACTTTTAAGAGGGCAATATAATTCACAGTTTAAAGATGCTGTTTTCTTGAATCAAATTCTGATCCTACTGAATGGTTACGTTTTTATTGCAAGGGGTGGGTATGAACTATATTACCTGTCGATCATAATGATGATTGTATAACTCTGGCTCCCTTATCCTCACGCAGTGACTGTACTGCAATGGGAACACCGGGGGGGCGGATGGACACATTTTTAACGTCACCTCACAAGTAACTTTCACGGAATGTGATGCTTCAATTTCAACCAACGTGAACGTTGACGGTGCAAGGTGGTGGAACCGGGATTGGTGACATTTCACTTGGCACTCGGTACCTCTTAGGGCAGCGGTCGGGAACCTATGGCTCGCGAGTCATATATGGCTCTTCCGGTGACGGCATATGGCTCCCAGACAATTTTGAGTTGAAAAAAATAAAAATAAAAAAAATCAGTTTGGAACTGATTTTAAAATACTTGTGATATTGCTTAATAATATTTGTGTCATTTAAAAGTAAACAGAAATTAGTTTTGAAGATAAATTTCACGGGTCACGCCTGCACGAAGCTCAACCTCACCACGTACGAACCAGACTACAAGGCCAACAGCAAAACCATGCAGCACCAGAAGTCGCATTAAAAGTAAGACATATTTAATTTATTATACGTTAAAAATACTATATGGCTCTCAATGAAATATATTTAGAAATATTTGGCTTTTATGGCTCTCCCAGTCAAAAAGGTTCCCGACCCCTGTCTTAGGGGCAGCAAACCGAGGAATCGCCCCTCCAACCCTTCATTCACATCCAGGTCCCTTCACACACCATGTGATGTTTAGCCGGTGCTGCTGCTGCTTCTACTAAATGTGGCGATCATCAACCCAACCCTCTCGTTAATGTGATTCAACGTTTGGAGGCCATATTTCCCTATTTAACTACCACATCGGCGCCATTCAGAAGCGAGATCCTGCCATGGGATATTTCGCACATGTTGAATTTGTTCAGAAAGTATGAGATACGTGGTATTTTTTTATCCTTTGGATATCGATCTCTTATAAAGGGTGGATAATATATTTAAGCACCAGTCCCTCGCACACAACTAGTTCTCCAGCTTGTCAAGTGTACATAGTTCATAGCAGGATACGTCGATCACTGGCCTGAGTCACACCTTGTGCCAATTTAATATTTAGAAATGGACCTCAAGCAAAAACTGGCAAGTTGTGGAGGACGGTGTGAATGTGATGAGGCCAACATTCGTCGGATGTGCTGCTCATTTGTGAGCTGGTTTGTTTCACTTTTATATTTATCACCACCATTCCTCAGTTTAAAAATTGTAATAAGTTATCCCATTGGCCGTTAAAGCACATGACATTTCACCAATCCTGTGCTATCCCCATGTAAATGAAATCTCAGAGTGTCACACTGAACGTTCTTTCTTCAGCTGAGGGTGGGTGATGGCAAGTCATGAGATGCTGGTTAGATATGTATTCAGCCCCCCCACTGCTAGACGTGATCACCAACAGCTTCCCTTTCAGTGGTGATGTGCTGTCTCTAATGTGCCCTTGCAGGCACTTGGTATCGACATTATCACAAGGGACCATCTGTTTAACACGTAGGCTTTCGCGACCAATGTTATTCATAATCAACGTTTTTGGGTTTAGATCGCGTTTATTTATAAATGTGTCGTAACCCTCCACCACCCGACACGGCCAATCAGTAAAAATGTGTCACGTTGACAAAGACAAATAGTTCACTGCTTTAGCCCACCGGTGTGTTGAAGCCACAACATTTACAATTTGAGTACGACGTTTCGCTGGTAATTGCAACCAGCATCATCGGGCAATTCGCCAGAATGGTGAGGCTCTGCTGTGTCTCCCGTTCTTATATAGAGCAGCAGCAGCGTGACGTCATCATTAACTCATTAACTCATCAGGTGCAAAGATTCAAGGGGGGAGTGATTGTAATTATATACTAGATTAGTAATCAGGCTATTGTTACGATATGAGATTAGTCGATTAGTAATCATGTGGAATGTGTTTTATTGTGGTTATGCTACATTAGTAATCAGTTAGTGGTTGTTTCCCTTATAAGTAATTGTAATGTATCTTATTTAATAATACGCTTCCAGGCCGCACTAAGCCTGTAGCTGTCTGAGCGATTAAAGTTATTTCTGTTTCTCTCAATTTCAATCGATTCTCTAATTAGTCTTTGCCAGTAGTAACTAGTTTTACACAACACTTCCACGTTGTCAAAATCAATTGAGTGTCCCTGTTGGCATGCATGTTCTGCTACTGCCGACAGTTGTGTTTGTGATAGTTTAATATTTCTCTGGTGTTTTAGTCTTACACTAACGTTACGCCCTGTCTGTCCAATATAGCATCTGCCACATACACAATTAATCCGATATACACCTTCTGTTGATAATTTAGGTAATTCGTCTTTAGTGCACGTTACTAGTTGTTGAATTTTGTGTACTGTACCAAATCTTACTGTAATGTTTTGCTTTTGCAAAACACGGGCTAATTTATCAGTTACTCCTGAGATAAATGGTATTTTTATTGTTTTAATAATCTGATCGCTTTCAGCAGTGTTGCTTTGCGATCGTGATTTGGCTTTTAGTGCTCTGTTAATTTGAGCATTATTGTAGCCATTCTGTCTTAGTGCTTCTTTAACATGTTTAATCTCTCTCACTAGACTTTCACCATCTGACACTGTTTTAGCCCGATGTATGAGCGTCTTGATAAGAGAGGATTTCTGAGCTGGGTGATGATGCGAATCTGCATTCAGATAGGCATCAGTGTGCGTTGGCTTTCTGTAAACGCTGTGTGTTATTTTACCGTTTGGGCCATGCCCAAGTAAAATATCCAGGAACGGGAGTGTGTTATTCACCTCCATTTCCATGGTGAACTGAATGGCCGGGTTTTGTGCATTGAGATGATTTAGAAAATCGTTAAGTGTATCTTTACCATGTGGCCAGACAACCAAAGTGTCATCCACATATCTAAACCAAAAGGATGGTTTTAATGTGCTCGAGGCAAGTGCTCTGGTTTCAAAGTTTTCCATGTACAAATTTGCTATAGCAGGAGATAAAGGAGAGCCCATTGCTGCTCCCTCCCTTTGTTTAAAGAATTCGCCTCTCCATAAGAAGTAAGTGTTATTTAAACAATGGTCTGCGAGTTTCGGAATATCTTTTGGTAAACCTGTATTCTTTACCAGTGTATCAAGTAATTTAAGCGACTCGCTCACTGGAACCTTAGTGAATAGCGAAATCACGTCAAAACTCACCAAAATATCATTTTGGTGAGTTTTGACGTGTCAGTACAATTGGCTCTGCCACCTATAAATTAGCAAAATATGTAACTAAACAAATTCAGCCTTACATCGGTAGGACATCATCATTCATAAGAAATTCAGAACATCTTGTGAATATGATCAAAGATATTAAACTTAACCCTAATGATATTTTGATGATGCTGGTTGCAATTACCAGCGAAACGTCGTACTCAAATTGTAAATGTTGTGGCTTCAACACACCGGTGGGCTAAAGCAGTGAACTATTTGTCTTTGTCAACGTGACACATTTTTACTGATTGGCCGTGTCGGGTGGTGGAGGGTTACGACACATTTATAAATAAACGCGATCTAAACCCAAAAACGTTGATTATGAAGGGACCATCTGTGAACTTTACTGAGCACAAGTTTGGGAGCTGCAGTCATTACCAGAACATGCAGTCTGTATCAATGGTTTTCAATGTTCGTTTATTAAAGGACTCTTCCACTGTGTCTGTCTCCGTTGTCCTTTATTTGGGTTCGTACAACTTTGCCCGCACGGCGCCTCACTCAGAGTCTCCTCCACCTCCCGCTCGGCAGCCCTTCTGCTGCCGTCGCTCACGTAGCCTTGCTGCTGGCTCCCGATGCAGCTCCGCTGCTGGCTTTTCTCTCAGCCTCTCCGCCCTCGATCTGCAGCCCCACCGCTGCTCTCCGTCTTCCCCGTGCCCGGACACCGCTGGCCAACGGTGCCGAGTCCCGTCCTGTGGCGATCACGCCACTTTCCACCTCCTGCCCTGCGTGGCCTCCTCCCGTCTTTATTCTTACACTCTCCCCCGACTCTTCCGGTTCCCGCCCTTAAGAGCTCTCCCTTCTCCCCACGTGACCCAACTCCTCCCCCCTGTTACGTCATATCCGCGAGGCCGTTTACGCTCGTGTAAAGTAGTAACTCGGCAGGAGACGACTTCACGGGTAGCACACTCTTTATTTTCACCAACTTGTAGTTACACGGATGACTAACACCCTACTTCGTTACACGGGTGACCAACACCCACTTAGCTACACGGGTGACGGACACCCACTCAGCTACGACTTCGTTACACGGGTGACCAACACCCACTTAGCTACACGGGTGACGGACACCCACTCAGCTACGACTTCGTTACACGGGTGACCAACACCCACTTAGCTACACGGGTGACGGACACCCACTCAGCTACGACTTCGTTACACGGGTGACCAACACCCACTTAGCTACACGGGTGACCCACACCCACTCAGCTACACGGGTGACCCACACCCACTCAGCTACTCGGGTGACTAACACCCACTCAGCTACACGGGTGACTAACACCCACTCAGCTACACGGGTGACTAACACCCACTCAGCTACACGGGCTCTTACGCCCCGTCGCCGTCCGGGACACACCCAGCCGGGGTGCCCGTCTCGGCTCTGGGTACCACCGTCCCGACCCACACGGGCGTCGGACTACGGTCCCCCCAGTCTCGGCTCCGAGCCACACAGGGCCCCTATCTCCTCCACCCCGTCTTCGGTCTTCAACTGGTTAACACTGACCACGAGTGCTCTCGCGCGTCCCCCTTTATACCCCTCCTGCGGACGTCGCTGAGAGTACCCACTTATCTGACCAATCACTGCGCACTCGCTACGATCCTCTCTTCCCAGCTTGTGTGAGCGCGCCTCACCACCGGCGCGCGCGTCCATGCCACGCCCACACTGCGTTCCCAACCCCGCGCCCCGTGATCCCTCACTGCCGGCGCACGTCAATACCACCACTACATCACCCCCTACCACATAGCTCGCAGCCGACCCGGCTGCTAATAAACCATACAACACCCCTTCACTCCCATGTGTGCCCCGTAACATAACACAACATGAACACCGCAATCCGCAAAACCCAGCAACCGCCCCACCCGCAACAAGAACAACATGCACAATCCGGCGAGTGGCAACGATACTGTGTATGCGGAAAGAGTAACAATAAAAAAAAAATTTCTTTAATCATTTTCTCTTCTTTTCTCTCCGACTCATGCAATGTCCCAATGTCCGAGCGTCCCTTGAACGGGACATTACCCCGGCAGAGGGGGGGAAGCCGGCAACGAAGTCGGGCTTTAACAAAAAAAGAATATATTTTTTTTTTTTTTTCATGAAAAGTGTTGCGTCCTTGATCGAGTCCGCCTTGCCGGACCGTCGTACGGCACAGGACGCAGTTGGCCATCCGGCAGCGCCGGCAGTTCAGGGAGGCATGGGACAGACATCGGGGCTCCGTGCGAGCCCCGGGGTTCCGGTTCCCGACGGTCAACAGCCGTCAGGTCCGAGACACCTGGGGGTGGGTCAGGTGGAGACACGTGAGGATCAGCCTGCGACACATCCCTCCCCGAGTCGACGGTCACATCCCACGCTCGGTCGTCACGGCACAACCCGGGGTCACGCGGCGCCGCGTAGGGTTTCAGTCGGGAGGGGTGCACGTACCAACGGCGTTTTCCCCATTTAATCTGTATACTCTGGGGTCGTGCAACCCGCACAATTTCCACCGGTCCCCTCCACGGTCTCAACAGTTTGGGGGACGTAGCCAACGGTGCGTGTGGACAATGCAGCCAGGCTTTATCGCCCGGTTCCCAATTGTGCGTACGCACCTTCCGTTCATGCAATCGCTCGTTCGCGATCTGCCGAGAGCGTGAATTCAATCTCGCAGCCTCTCGCGCCTCCCCCAATTTGGCGATGTTAAACTTAATGTGGTCTGCCAATTTAGATTTTGCACGTGGCTGTGAAATCCCCAGTTGGACGTCCATGGCCGGATCAGCCTCCCGCCCATACATCAGAAAAAATGGAGAAAACCCCGTCGCCGCATGGGGTGCCATCCGATAGGCCGCTAGTACCCCCGGTACCTGTAAGTCCCAATCCACCTGGTCGTCGCATACCTGTTGGCACAGCATAGACGTAATCGTCCTGTTCAGACGTTCAACCATACCGTCAGTCTGCGGGTGGTACGGGGAGGTACGTACTTTCTTCGTACCCAACAGGTCGCACACCTCGCGCAACAAAACACTCGAAAAGTTTTTCCCTTGATCCGTGAGCAAGCGTTCGGGGGCGCCTTTGTCCAAAACGTAACCTTGGACAAAGGCGTCCGCCACCGCCGCAGCCGACTGGTTGGCGAGTGGCCACGCCATGGGCCAGCGGGTGAAGTACTCTACGCCAACCAGCAGGAACTTATTTCCCCGAGGTGTGGTGGGAAAGGGCCCCAGGATGTCTAGCGCGACCAATTCGTTCGTGCGCGAAACTTGAATGGATTGAAGCGGTGGATTAGCCGCTATTGGTGGCGGTTTTCTTTTAGCGCACCCTACACACCCCTTAAGAATGTTCGCCACGTCACTGCCCATCCCAGGCCAATAGTAGTCTCGCTGAATGAGGGCGAGCGTTTTGTGAAACCCCAGGTGCATGAGTCGTTCATGGGCAGCCAGGACGACTTTACCCCGTACAGCAACCGGCACCACAAGCACGTGACGCCGGGACATGGAGTCCCACTTCATCAAGAGGCCCTGTCTGCACACCCAGGAACCGACCCGCGTTTCCCCGCCCTCGGGAACGTTAACCTTCCGACGTAGCGCGAGTAGGGAGCTGTCGGCCATTTGCAAACGGCCCCACTCGATGAGAGGCAATGCTAACAGCGAGTCCCTCCCCGTGGGGGCGTCGACCCCCGTCGTATCCGTGGCGGCTAGCACCACTTCCGCGGGAACATCGACAGAAGGTTTACACCGCGCCGATCCCAACTGACATGCGCATTCCGTACGCGTCGGCAACCGTGACAATGCATCCGCATTCGAGTGGCGCAACCCCTTGCGGTAAATCGTCGTGAATTGGTAGTCCTGAAGGACCTCCAACCATCGGGACAATTGGCCGGATGGCTGCGCCACCCGCATAGCGTATTGGAGAGCCGCATGGTCCGTGCGAACCGTAAAGTGACGGCCATACAGATACGGCCTGAATTGCTGTATAAAAAACACGATCGCCAGCAATTCACGCCGTGTCACACAGTAGCGTTGTTCCGCGGGGGACAGAACCCTGCTACCGTAGGCGACCACCCGTTCGACCCCCCCGACCACCTGTGAGAGCACTCCCCCGATACCCGTGTTACTGGCATCCGTGTCGAGCACAAACGGTTGCGTGAAATCGGGGTAACACAAGGGGGGAGCCTGCACCAAGGCGTCACGCAGGGAGCAGAACGCGGCCTCCTCCTCCGGCCCCCAGTGAAACCGCACCCCTTTAGCCGTCAAGGCGTGCAGGGGCCTGGCTATGGTGGCAAACTGTTTGACAAAACGACGGTAATAGGAGGCAAATCCTATGAAGCTGCGGACTTCAGTGACAGAGGTCGGTGTTGGCCATGAGCCGACGCATTCCGTCTTAGCAGGGTCCGTCGAGATCCCCGAACGGCTAACGATATGGCCCAAATACCTGACCGATTCCCGAAGCAGAAAACATTTAGCCGGTTTAAATTTAAGCTTCGCGGAACGCATCCTGAGAAACACTGCCCTCAGTCGCTGGAGGTGCTCCTCAAAAGTTCGGCTGAAAACGATGATATCGTCGAGGTAAATCAAACAGGTGTCCCATTGAAGGCCTGACAAAACCAATTCCATGAGCCTCTGGAACGTGGCAGGAGCGGAATGTAAACCCATGGGCAATCGGTTGAACTCAAATAGGCCTCCCGGTGTCCGGAAAGCGGTTTTAGGTTTTGATTCGTCATCGAGGGGCAATTGCCAAAATCCCGAAAGCAAATCGAGCGTCGAAAAAAACTGTGCTCCTGCCAAGGCATCCAGCGACTCATCCATCCTGGGGAGCGGATACGCATCGGCCATTGATATTTTGTTTAGGCGGCGGAAATCAACACAGAACCGCAGGGATCCATCCTGTTTTTTAACCAAGACGATAGGAGCACCCCACGGACTGGAAGAGGGCGCAATGATGTCGGCCGCCAACATGTCATTTACTGCTGACTGCACATGCTCCTTCTCGGCTGGACTGAGCCGGAAGGGATTCTGTCGAATAGGGGCCGCATCCCCAGTCTCTATGTGGTGGCGCAACAGGTCTGTGCAGCCAATGTCGTACTTGTGCCTGCTAAACACGTCAGCGAACTCGAGCAGCAAGCCCCTCAATGCACCCCTCTGCACACTGGACAAGGTACTGGACCCGGCACACAACGAGTCCAACCACTCCGTCCCCTCCTCACTTTGGGGATGCGTATCGACATGCGAATCGGCGTGAGCAACGAGCTGTTCCTCGACGGGCAGCGGCGCGGCGTGAGCGAGCACCGTTCCCTGCGTAATCACGGCCGGCCGCGACCCCGTATTCAGGACCACAACGAACGGCTCACTGTCCCCCCTCACCATGGTCTGGGCCACCGCTAAGTCGAGGTCCCCTTTAGCCCTGTTAGACGGCCCCAATAGAACTCCCTGCGCCCCCGCATCCGCCCCAAGGGGTTTTCTCAACCGAAGGGGCACCAACATTTGCGATCCCGGGGGCACCCGTACAGTCCGGGTTGCCAGCGCCTGCACCGTCGCACAAGCCGTGCGTATCTTATTTGGACTCTTCAAAAACTCAACCCGCCGACCCGATGGAAGCTCAATGCAGGCCTGGTCTATGAGAATTTTTATGGGCATCTTAGACAGAAAATCCGTGCCTAGTAAACAAGGAACGGCCAACGATGATGATACAAAAATAGGACCCGCCAATTTAATGTCGCCAATACAAATATTCGCCCGAATCTGGCCGATGATTCCCAAAGATCCCCCGTTTGCCGCGTAAAACGGTACGTCCACCGGCAGAAGTGGTCGACATTGTACGGGAAGAATATTATAAATCAGGTCCGAAATAATAGTGGCCGACGCACCCGTGTCCACGAGCACCCGGACCTCAACCCCGTCAATGTACCCCGTTACCACGGACGACCCGGCCGACGCAGCCACAATCCTGTGGGCTAATTCGGACCACTCGACTGCCTTCGGGCCGTACGCGGACCCCTCTCGCCGAACCGAACCCCCGGCGCCCATACCCGGTCCCCCCACCGCTAAGCGGCGACCCGAATGTGCCGTGCTTGTGGACCGAACGTGTGAGGTGCCGCGACTTGCCGGGTTCAGTTGGGATGTCTTGAGTCCCTGGGCGTCGTCCGGACGTGGTCCCGCGGTGCGTTGACGCGGGGCCCGGCATCCCGACGCGACGTGGCCCCGAAGGCCGCAGTTGTAGCAGACGACGAGGGACGTCGTGGGTTTCGGTTGCTCCAGCTTGCGGGAGGAGCGTGTGGGCGAACGACCGCCCGTTCTCCACTCCCCCGGCCTCGAACCCGCGAAGGCCTCCTCCCGAGGCACAGCAGGCTGAGGTCCGATGATCGTGGCGGTCGGTGCCCCGTTCTCCACCGATGCGCAGACGACCGTCGGCTTCTGCTGTAGGACCTCGTAAGCGTGGATACTCGTGGCAATCCCCAGGGAGCAGATGTCCATCTCGTCCGCCGTATTAATGGGAACTCCCAATCCGTGAGCCAGCGCCAGCAGCTGCTCCGTCACCATGGCGTCCTTCCCCTCCTTGTCCATACGGGGAAAAGCTGAATCTGCCAGGGCGAGCAGCGCCGTGCGATAGGCGAGCGTTGTTTCTCCAACCACCTTCCGTCGATCGTAGAACTGGTGGCGACAGGTCGAGGGCGGCCCGAACACCTTGGCCAACAGGTGCAGCGCGGCCTGGAGCGTGGAGCGGGACGACCTCGGGGCAGACGTGAAGGCCGCAAGCGCGTCGTCGTCGAGCATCGCTGGCAGCGCGCGCAGGGCAGTGGTGTCGGACCACCCCGACATTTCTTGATGCGCGATGAACCGTCGCTGGAAGGCTCCCCAGTCGCCCCCGTCCGCCTTGAACACCGACAGCGCGGGCAATCGTTGCTGGAGAACTCGATCGTCGTCGTCGTCGTTGGAGCGATTTTCCCGCGCGCCGCTGTGGTTGTAGAAAATGTCGGCTCCCTCTGCAGGCGCAAAATGGAGAGCTCCGGCGCTCGCCGATGACGCGGGCTGCGCTGTGTGGAGACCTCTGGCCACGTGGTGTCCTCGTTTCCCGCCAAGCGGAGTCGGGCCCTCAAAAATGGCGCCAACTCCCAAACTTTTGGCGCGAAACGCCGTATGGCGGGAACCCTCCAGCCGCGCCGCCTCTTCCAACCCCGCAGGCGTTCCTCCGGCCGCTGGAACGGAGATCTCCGCCAAGATTGCAGCGGCGGCGAGCAGCAACTCCGCCAGGCGGGAATGTGCGTCCTGCAGGCTGGTGTCGGAGGCGGGCGGAGCATCGGCCATTTCCGCGAAGTGCTGCATCGGCGGCAACTCCTCGTCCTCTCCTCCCGAGGGTGGTGTCACCGGTACGTCGTCGTCTCCCCGGTCTTGCACGTGGGAACGAGAAGTCTTCCTTGTGTCCATTTCTCCTTGAAGACAGGTTTACTTCTGACGCCAGTTGTAAAGTAGTAACTCGGCAGGAGACGACTTCACGGGTAGCACACTCTTTATTTTCACCAACTTGTAGTTACACGGATGACTAACACCCTACTTCGTTACACGGGTGACCAACACCCACTTAGCTACACGGGTGACGGACACCCACTCAGCTACGACTTCGTTACACGGGTGACCAACACCCACTTAGCTACACGGGTGACGGACACCCACTCAGCTACGACTTCGTTACACGGGTGACCAACACCCACTTAGCTACACGGGTGACGGACACCCACTCAGCTACGACTTCGTTACACGGGTGACCAACACCCACTTAGCTACACGGGTGACCCACACCCACTCAGCTACACGGGTGACCCACACCCACTCAGCTACTCGGGTGACTAACACCCACTCAGCTACACGGGTGACTAACACCCACTCAGCTACACGGGTGACTAACACCCACTCAGCTACACGGGCTCTTACGCCCCGTCGCCGTCCGGGACACACCCAGCCGGGGTGCCCGTCTCGGCTCTGGGTACCACCGTCCCGACCCACACGGGCGTCGGACTACGGTCCCCCCAGTCTCGGCTCCGAGCCACACAGGGCCCCTATCTCCTCCACCCCGTCTTCGGTCTTCAACTGGTTAACACTGACCACGAGTGCTCTCGCGCGTCCCCCTTTATACCCCTCCTGCGGACGTCGCTGAGAGTACCCACTTATCTGACCAATCACTGCGCACTCGCTACGATCCTCTCTTCCCAGCTTGTGTGAGCGCGCCTCACCACCGGCGCGCGCGTCCATGCCACGCCCACACTGCGTTCCCAACCCCGCGCCCCGTGATCCCTCACTGCCGGCGCACGTCAATACCACCACTACACTCGCATTACATTCGTATAACATACATGAATAAAATATTCGACCAAAAGTAAAGTACTGGATGCGAATCCAACTGAGTTTGTCATGGAACCGGCAAGCTCACCACCACTAGCTCTAACAACGAGACACGTTTGGGCGAATTGCTTTAAACAAAATGGATCTGGCAGTCACGGTCGATTGTTGGGGGGAGTGTTCATTGCTTATTGTGTCATTAACCACTGCTGCTATGATTATGGTGATTTACAATTAACATGGGTTCGTGTGTCAGCTGAAAGGGGTCTCCTCTGTCAATTATTTTTCCAGGAATGCCTTGCTGAGCCTCAAAGACTATTTAAAGATGATGCTGCTACTGCATTGCAATGTTTGGCCAGTGCTCATAATCCGTGTTTGGCATTTGTGAAGTATGGTCCAAAAATGTTCCATGTCTGACATGGTATGAGTAGGCCTTAAATAAGAGTTGACAAGTAGTAGTAGGGTTTTACCCTTTTAAACTGGTACAAAACTGACACCTTTATTCAAGGCATCATGTTTGCAATGACCACAAGTGGTCATTGCAAGCAAGTGGTCATTGCAAACATGATGCCTTGAATAAAGGTGTCAGTTTTGTACCAGTTTAAAAGGGTAAAAGAGATCTCATAGTGTAAATGCTTATCCCGAGCTCTCAATACTCTGATATTTCACTCTGTTTGAGTTGTACGCCTTCTGGTGTCATCTGATCCAACACCAATGGGGACTAGGCTCTAAAGAAAGCCGTCTCGGGTGTGGACCAATCAACTTCAAGGACAGTGCATATTATCATTATCAGAGTTGCTTCTTTTTGTTTGCTTTTTTGACTACTTGTGTTGTGGTCATTGCAAACATGATGCCTTGAATAAAGGTGTCAGTTTTGTACCAGTTTAAAAGGGTAAAAACCTACTACTATATTTTCCCATTAGTAAAAGAGATCTCATAGTGTAGGAGTTGACAACTGAATATACTGATTGAACACAATAAGTAGAATTGCAACAATGATGCATAGCACTATGGAGGAACCTTTATTCTCTACCTTTTCACGAAGGTGCTGGTTGCTACATTGGGATGTTTGGCAAATTTCAATGATGAAAGTTTGGCTTGTAGGAGGAACCGAACACATGGGGAAATAAAGGTACAATAGACTCGATTATTCGCGCTAATGATGGGAAGGACGGCCGCGGATAACTCAATCGTGGATAATCCAAAAATATCCATTTTCTGTGAATCTCTATGCCAGTGATAACACTTTCCTGCTCCCGCGCAGAAGACTCCGCCCACAAAGTGGACATCAGAGCAACGCCACTAAATCAAACTCCACCTACTGTAATAATATACTGTACTGTAGAGGCGATCACGTGGATTTTGGATTAACCGGAGCACATTTGTTCAGTTTAAGCACGTGACTTGTAATAAACATTTCCAAAAATAACAATGTATAACTTTTTTTATTATTTGGGCTTAATAACAAAAATCCATGAGTTATTAATTTGTCAAAATCTCAGATGCGTAGTTAATCCACGAATCGGATAAACCGCATGCGGATGATCGAGAGTCGACTTATTTTGATTCTGGCTTAGGGTCCCAATCCTTGAGTCATCATTGCATCATGTGTACTCTTTTTCCGAGACGATAGCGTCTATGGCGAACAATGTTACCACACGTAATCGCTCCTCAAACACGGGATAATGCAGCAGCAAGATGCCAAACTAAATTCTCACTTGGCACCTCTAAACTGCTGAGTGCGCAATTATACGTGAAATTAAACCACAGGTTGGCCCCACGCCGACTACAATACAACATTTAACCTCCCTATAGTGTAACGCGCATTAGAAACCCCCTAAATGGGTCTCGAGCCTGTGCCGATGAAAGTGACATCGGTTAAGCAAGGGCCCGAGTGCTCGGGAACGGCTCACGGAGACTTCGCCTTGTCCCTACGGTATTTCTGCACGTATAAGTTGAAGAGAATGATGAGGGTGACGATGTAGAAGAACACCACGGCGTTGAAACCGTCGGAGAAGTCGCAGTCGGTGAAGAGGTTGTAGCTCGTGTGCAGTGCGATAGCGACGAATTATCTGGAAATGACAATCGTTATTAAGAACACGGTTAGCCTTGTCGCATCACGAACACCTCACTCGTCATCACCATTAGTTTAACACGTCGGCTTTCGCGACCAATATCCATAATTAGATTTAATGAGGTTGGTCGTAAAAAAACGTCGTACTCGGAATTGTAAATGTGGGTTTACTCTCCAAAACACCGGTGTGCTGAACTAGTAACTAATTGGCACGTTTTGTTCACGTGATAAACCTAATTGGCTGTCGGGTGGTGGCGGGTTTAATAGCACATTTATAGTTACGCGATCTAACCCCAAAAAATCACCACCATCAAAGCATCAGTCGCCATGGCAACAGTGATCTTCACCATTACCCCAGATCATCATCAAATCAATCACAACCAAGTCATTGCCACCGTCGTAATGATCAACGGAATTATAATCATTCGTCGTTGGCATAATCGGCACGGTCATTGCCACAATCATCATCATCACTGCTACCTCGTTATCTGTTATATCACTACCACCGTCATTGTCATCACCATAAGTCTTACGGCGACCTTTGGCCAAGCAGTTGCTTCAGCATTATTGATAATACGTGTTATTACAAGTGTAAGAGATCTGCGAGCCCTCTCACGGACACATGTTGGGGCCGCTGGTCCCCGAAGTCCCTCCCTGCTCCGTGCCTATGGCAGGGGCTCCGCCGTGCGCCGACCCCTCGCTGCTCTGCGAGCAGCTGCTGCCGTCGCTGGGCTCATCGCCCGACGGCTACCCTCCCTGGTCCGTCCCTCCGCGAGCTCGTGTGAGAGGCATAGCTCGCCGCACACCCTCGTTCACCTGCAGACGCTGCGTTGTCTCTCCACGGATCACGCTCTATTAAACGGGGGTCAGGGGTCGGAGGGCGAACGACTCTGCCCTCACACTGCGCGAGTCCCGGCGGCGACAGATGGAGCGGGGACCTGCGGACGCACCGACCCCTTCCTCCACACTACGAGCGCACACACCTGCACACACGCGACACCCACTCGTGCGCCGCTCTACGCAGCGCTCACTCACGTGGCGAACCACGGTGTACACACGCGCACCCACACGTTCCCACTGCTCAACAAGATCACGCGAGGCCACGCTTCGCTATTAATGATTTATTATTTGCTAACTGCGAATTGATGTTAAATCGGTTTGAGTCGACGAGGCTGGCCTATTCCACTAAACCTGTACCTATCCCCTATCTATCGGCTAGTATCCTACTTCACCTCCCCACTCACTGTTTGATGCCCACGATGGTTCGCTGCTCCCTGTGCTAACAGCGCACCTCGATGCGTCGCACGGACGTCCGGGTCGCTGGCTGGAGCTGCGGGTGGTCCTCTGGCCTGGAGAGAAGAGCGCGATTTCCCCTCTGCGCCCCTCTATTTATCCTCCCTACCTCAAAGGGGATGCTGCGCTGAACAATGGGCTCGCGCACCCCGAGCCCGCGCACGGCGGTTCCGGGCGCTGTTGATATGCTAATCAGTGAGCGACGTTGGCGGCGTACATCCTAATTAACCACTTACCCTCCCTAACAATGGGGCCTGCGCGCTCAAGCGCAATTATCCCAACCCTCCATGACTATGCGCAACAGCCCCTGTGATCTCGCTATTCATGCTGTCCCGTGCCTCCCCTGCTTGCCCCGTTGACTCGTGGGGGTGTGTGTGGGGGGAAATGCGCCTCAACCGCGGTGGCCGAATGCCCCACGCCGCGACCACACCATATTAAGGCCGGCCGCAGCGCCGCGGTGCCACGTAGCACGGGGGAGGTCATCCAATTCCCTGATCGCCGGAAACCGTGAGAATTAATCCCGATAAGGGTCTCTCGGATAAAAACCGGTCGGCCAGGCGACCTCCCCTCGGAGCTCTATGGGGGGGGGGGGGGGGGGAAATGAGTGCGGGTGTGTTCATGTGAGGTGAGGTGAGGGGGACGCGGGGTCGGCTCCGTTGCTTGGTGGTGGCGAGGTCGGGGATTTGGTGCCTGCCGAACGGCTTCGTGGCGGCGGCATCACATAGCCCCCCGAGGTGCCAGTCCCCGTCCCGGGTTGACTGGAGCACCTCGCTTGGGCCGCGCCCACGAGGAAACGTTGCGGGGTCCGGGGGATCCGTCCGGACCTGGTGGCTGGCCTCGGGGCGGGTGGTTCCGTCCTCTGTAGCTCCTGCGGCGGTCTCCTCCACTCCAGCGGCTCTCCCCGTCCTCCGGCACCTGTGGGCTGGGGCACAAACTCAGCAGCGGAAGGGTTTAGTGGCCGTCGTCCGCGCCGTCTCCGGACTGGATCGGGGCGTCTCGGGGGCCCGGCGGGGCCCATGTAGTGTGCGAGGCCCCCCAACACGAGGGGTGCGGGTACTCCGGGATTTCGGGGCTTTCGGGTGACGGAGTCCTCTCTCGCCGGGGCCGCTTTCCATGGTTTTAAGCGGCGGACATTGACCACCGTCTCTCGACCCCTCTCCCCGCCATAAATTAGTACCGTCCAGGGGGATATCTGCCGCACCACGGTCCAGGGTCCCCGCCAGTAGGTCGTCAGTCTCCCCACCTGCCCGGCCCCGACGCGAGGGGTGTGTAGCCACACCTTAGCGCCTGTCAGGAATAAGGGGGGTTCCATGCGGGGTCGGGTGCCCTGTTCCTGCCGCCGATGCGCGGCTTCCCCTTGCGGGTATGCTCGGCCTCGGGCTTCTCGCAGGGTCTCCAACAGGTGTTCCACGGGGCGGCTTCCCTCCTCCGGCTGGGGGGAAGGGACGCCGAATAGCAGATCTGCGGGTAAACGAGACTCACGGCCGAACATCATTAAAAACGGGGTTTGTCCCGTCGACGTGTGTACGGTGGTGGCGTAGGCGAAAAGGGCGTAGGGGAGGTGTTCGTCCCAATCCCGTTGATTTGCGGCCGCCATACGTTTGAGTTTCCCCGCTAGGGTCT